ATTGCAACATACTGCCTGACAACTACCCTCCAAACATATGCCGTAACAACCTGCAAAGATACCCCAATCCCATGTCCATGCTGTGTACCCTCACTTCCGCGCAAGCACCATTGTATTCTGAGGAACAAGGACGCCTCAAGGTCCTGGCTTGCATCCAAGATTCGCCCTGCCCTTTGCATGGAAAAGCTGGTCATGCAGGCATCGAAGAGGCCGCCGTTGTCTACCGGGAGCTGGAAAGGCTGAAGAACCCCGAGAAGCACCCCGCCATGGTCGCAGGCGAATCATCATCATCATCACATGCGCAGATGCAGGTGGATGTCGAGGCCGCCGATGTGGCGATGGAGCTGGAGCCGGGCGAGGTGGAGACATGCCCCGTGACGGCCAAGGCTCGGACCCTTGCTATGGAGGACATGAGTTGCATCTTCAAGCACACCTCCATCCATGGCCTCTGCGACGATGTCAAATTTAGAGTTGGATCAGGAGAGGGATTCAGTGTCTCCAAAACATGTCAAGACACTTATTTGGACATTTAGTAAATTTAGTTTTTCAGGAGGGTCCAGATGTAAAGGAGAGCAGAAGTGTGGCTTCGAAAAGCGCACCCCAACCTATGAATTACAGTCAACATATAGATCATTTGATTTCTGAGACTTTTGAAACACACGCTCCAAACCAGGCCCCCGAAACATATTACTCTTGTCAGTTATCTGCCCGAAGCAAACACCTGACCCGACTTCCTGCGTGTGGCCCCCTCAGTTCCTTGAGGACGCAAGCTGATTTTTCTCATTGACGCTCCGACATCCCGTGAGAAGCAGATAATGGATTTGGTGCTGGCAGCGAAGCATGTGCTGGCAGGATTGGACAAGGACGCCAGGACATGGAATTTTGTTCCTTGAAGACCAAGCTGGTCACGCAACAGGGTTCAGTGTTTCAGGGCTGAGTTGCAGTTCCTTGTTTAAGGTTGGGTTGCTGGTTTGGTTGGGGGTTTTATAGGGTTGGGGGTGACGCAGTTAGGATTGTTGCGACTGACGGACTGACCGAGTCAATTTATGATGTCGGGCTTCAAATCTGCTAGTGCTGTGATGGCCAGGTTATGGTCATCGATATTGGAGGAAGAATTGACATGTTGGCAACGCTTTCGGACAAGCTCAAGGTCAATTTCAAGGACCATGTTCGGCCTTTCCAGATCATGTGCACATCAGGCTCCTCCCAGCATGCTTCCAGTGACCAGCCAAGCTACCTGCTGGTGGTCAACAGTCAACTCCATGCCAAGGTGAACATCCCCTGCCTTCTTCAGGCGAATCGTTGCGCAGCGTACAGCTGGGAGCAATTGAGACTGCGTTGCACGAATCCGCGTTGCACGCTGCGTCCGGAACAGGAGCCGGCCAAGGGCAAGGACGAAGAGGTGAACGCAGAGATGGGTGCGGATGATATGGAAGCCGGTGGACATGTGGAGATGGAAATTGAGGAGAAGCAGACAGCTCCTGAGGACGAGGTCCAGGTCCAGGCCAACAATGACCAGCAGGCTGACAGCGACTTCAGGCGCAATATTTGGGTCTTCTCCCGGCCTATGGCCCGATACGAGCAGATCCTGGCGGAGATTGGCAAACCGGTGCCTGCAAAAACATTAGAGTCATAATTTTGTTGCCGTAAGTTGTTGCTGCCCGCGACATGCTATCTATTGATTGTCGGCCTAACGAGCTCCTCTCATTTCGTGTTACAAGCCTTCTGAGGAGGCCGCTGCTGCTTGCGTCATCCTTACCCGGACCTCCCATCCCGGGTCGGTCGTGGCGGCGAGAAAGCTTGGCTTGAAGGTCTTCTATAAAGTGGAGGGTCCGTGTGTTCACCAACTTGAACACGGACGTGTGTGTAGCCTGACTGCTATTGAAGTGAATTGCATTTTTTGCTTTCTGATAGTTCCTGCAGGGGTCAGGTCGGGAATGGTGTTGTGGGGTTTGTGGGTTAGGTTTGAACTTGTAGACGGCGTAAGCTTCGATTTTTTACTCTAGGCTTTGGATTCTGGCCCTGAAGCGTTTTCCAGGCCTGGAGCACATGTTCACCGCCATGAAGATGAAGAAGGCCAGGCAGCTTGTTGGTGGTGACAGGAAGAGACCTTTATCTGGCTTCAACCTGATCGACGTGATGGAGCTGGGTGACCAGACGGTGTCCCCGCAAGACATCACGACCACGGCCTCAGCTCCGAATTCTGCCTGGCGTCATGGACTTAATCATGCTGTCTCAGATCTTGACACAAGGATGGCGTCGCAGATCGAGGAGGAGTTGACGGCATTTGGCCTGGAGATTGTGAGCACGGCCCAGGGCAAGGCTCTCCGCGCTGCGAAGGCTCTCCTGACAGAAAATAATGGGTGCAGGCACTTTTTAGGCGCTGCGGCATTTTGTTCAGCAACTTCTTTTCAAGCGTGCCGTGGAGACAATCATTGCCTCGAAACGGCGGGGGAGGGAATCTTCAAAAAAAATTTGGGGCATGCCCCCCGCAAATTCAAGTGCGTTTTGCATGCGCCCAATTAATCAAACACACTTAGAAACATGTTGCAGAATTGCCAGCCCGCCTTTTGTTCGATCGTGAGTTTGCAAGAGTGTGTAAGTGTAGTGTGCGCAGTATTATGAAGAATCGTCATGCTTCGCAGGCCCTGGGTGAGGGGGATCTTGTTTGCTACGTTGGCGGCCCGACGTTTGACAGCTCAGCTATGCTTGCCAAGTTCGTGACCGCAGATCCAAAGAATGAGATAGCCCTGGATAGGACGCCACGTTCAAAACAGTTCCGTTAACTATGTTGCTGAGATAGGAATAAATGTGTAATTGGGATTGCTTTATAGCCGGCCGAAGCCTTTGCGGCGAGGATCTTTCATGTTCCTTTGGCCTCGGGGACGTTGTTCCGAGTGGCAACAGGGGCGGCAGGATTTCTCCAGCACTACCTTGGTGTACGCCGGGGAGGACCGAATGCTGCAGCGTGGCTGCGTTTCAGATTTGCAGCTTTCGGTTGCTCTTCCTGAGATGATTTGCCTGAGATCTTGTTGAGCACACCTTTCCACAGATCGTCCGCGTGAACACTGCCGCCGGCCTCTGCGACGAGCTCCTGGAGGTGCGAATCTCCACGAGGCAAGGTTCATTTACCTCCTAAGCCCTTCATTCCTGCGACCTTAATTAATTAAACACCCAATAGTCAATATGCTCCCATGAGAGAGAGATTCTATAGATTAGGGGTATATTGTTTGTCTAATGCCCCTAAGATGGGAGGGGTGTTTGGTTTTAGCGCAGACCGATTATCAGAAATGTATCTGTGCGCGGTTCGGCGCAGGAACAAGCTGGGCTGCGCCAAGGGCCAGATCATTTGCCTGAATTACGGCAATGGCTTCGATTTCTCTGACGAAGCGAATGGCGGGCAGCCGGCGGCAAAGAAGCCCAAGCTGGGTATCGAGCGCTTCGTGAAAGAGGTTTCCGAAGATGGCAATAGCCAGCCGGGCGGTCAGGACTCGGTCCCTGCGCAGCCTCCGCAGGACCAAAGTCTCTGAAAAAACACATGCTACAGGAAGCCCCAATCCAACAAGCAAAGCAGTTACCCTAACCACTGCATAAATAAACCATGAATCCTACGACAACCATGTAATCCGCGATCCGAAGAAGTGCGAGCACAAAACCATTACCTCAACCACCATGTAAACCCTAGATCCTACGATCATCATGTCCGTCCAGGCCCCCAACAAGGAGGACGCGAACAAGGGAGAGTCCCCGACCAAGCCTCCAGGAACTACTCCTCCGGCGCCAGCGCAGAAGCCAGGGGAGTTGAACTCCAAGGACGTGGAGTTGGAGCAATTGAGCGAGCACCTGAAGCTTGTGTGGGATCCGGAGGCCTCCTCCCTGGTCGTTCTCAACAAGTCTGGCGCCAACAAGAAATTGCCTCAGTGCTTGCTCTACAAGGCCCGCGATGGCAAGCTCGACTCCGAGGGGGTGTTGGCATGGAGCTTCGATTCCTGTAAAGAGCAAGTCTTCCAGGTCCAGCCCGACAAGTCCTTTCAAGCCAAGACATTGAAGGAAATCATTGTCCATGAGAAGGCCACAAGCATCATGAAGCACAGTCCGCAGTTCAAGGTTGGGATTGGGGGTAAAAGAGCAGCTGTTGCATTCTATTGGTCAGCATTCAAGGATTGATTAATTAATTGGCGCTTCCCTTGCGAAGGCAGGAATGGCGCCGTCCAAGTTGAAGAGCCCTGACCAGCTCTTTTTCGCGGTCCGAAACGACCAGGACCAAGCTATTCTGAAGATGGCAGTGAAGAATGCTGCACTGAAAGTGCGGTGGGCTGTCAAGATGATCGGCAGTGAGGTGTGTGCTTATGGCGTGCTCGTCCACCTTGCCAAGCAGATTTCGGTGAAGCCCGGGCGCAACATATTGTCAGCATGAAATGTGCTGCGAAGTTGCGCGTTTTGTGGCCCTTGTTGTCCAGCGGTATGAGGTGCTAGATGATATAAACAGCAGGCTGATCAGACAAACTTATGATTTCGCTGGGCAGAAACTCTTCATTGGAGGCCAATGGGCATCTAGGTGGGAGATGCTTTCAAAGGAAGAGGCCTTCAATGTAATCTTGAGCAGGCTTTTGCCCGCGCGATTCAGCGCGAAGGTGTGCGTCTTGCGAAGAAGTTTTCCTTCATTACCCTTGCTGTCCCGTGGTGTGAGACACTTCAAACGCAGAAGAGTGGCAAGTCAATCATTAAAAGGTTTAGGATGGAACCCAGCATGGTTTGGACCTTAATTTGAATTTCGGACGACCTTTAAACGACACACGTACCCACCTGTAGGTTATTTGGGTCCGTGTAAGCATATCCATACTGGATCCAAGTTTGGGTCTAACCTTTCAGAATTTCATCTTGTGGCTATAGATAGTCATCATCTCGCCGGGCAGCAAGGTTTTAAATCTTCACTGACGGAACACCGTTTCAGGAGAGACCATGCGCTGTTGCATAATTGCAGGAATGATCCTATTTATGCACTTTCCGATGGCGTTTTGTCCGTATGGTGCCTCTCCTGGTCCAGCTGTGCTGCGAATTTTGCAAAGAAAGTCTTTGTATAGAGACACTTGCTATCCCGCGGTGGGAGACACTCGGCATTCCAGAAGAGAATAGGCTGATGGGGCAAGTCATTTATCAAGAAGTTTGGGATGGAACCGTTGGGTTGGAATTTCGGGAGACCTTTAATATAAATGAAATGCCCACCCATGGATTAATTGGGCGTTGTAACTATGGAGGTGCGCGAGGTATGTTATACACGCCTAGGATGGGTTGACGTGTTGCTTTGGAACGCATTCTGCCCAAAAAGAGAGTAACTAAAATTCCAGAAGCACGGAATATAAGAAACAGCAGACACCGCCACCTGAGGATCAGTTTGACTGCTGGCGGAGCCCAATCTGAATCCCAGGTCAAATACCAGAACCCCGGATTGCTATGCCACTGAAGGCATACACCCGAGCCCCCCGAAGGATCAGCCGTGGGCCCTGCATCCTATCCGCCTGTGCATGAAGCCAAGGCCCAAACGGCCAGCGGAGCGGTAACGTGATTAGTAGCCACAAATAACCACTTATGACGACACCAACTTATGCCATCATCCTTGAGAAATATGTTTGGTTCACCTTTTGAAAGGTAAATATGGCTGAAATGGTTGATATCCATCGGAGGGTTGGGAGTGTGCGATCTTCAACAAAACGTACGCCTGATGCAGACTGCGCCGCACCCTTATAATTTCTCTTTATAACATAACCCCTCGCAACACCAACCATCCAGACCCCTCGAGCCTCCTTGGGGGTCGTGCATCCAGTTTTCCTTTCCGGGCTCCCGTACTGTTGTATTATGGCTATGCTTAAGTCCCCACGAGCGCTGCCCGAGATCACGCGCAAAACCCATCCTTTGGTTCTGTGCTGACTCTTTCATCTGCTCTACAAGAGTTAACCAGCATATGCCGCACCAGCCTATATGTAAGTAGGCCCGGATGTTTACACGAGTTTTGCGCCTGCAAGCGCTGCTCATGAGTGGTTTCAACGCTGGAAAGAAGTGCCAACGCGCATTAAAGCCCCGTTCACGTAGGCTCGCGCACCGCCATACTTGTAACCCTGCACATGGTGCGTCCACCTTTTGTGAGCAATCTTACAGCTCTGCCTCTAGATTAGACATGTCCGTCTCGCCGGGAAGCAAGACTTTGACTGACGTTCGTCGAGTAACCGATGTCAGACCATTTCAAGAGACCAGGCGTTGTTGCCAAAGATGGAAAAGACGGAAGTCGATTTTATGAGCACTCCTGCCGGACAACCTTCCCTGAACTTCTCGTCTAAAGATTGTGCTGTGAGGAGATGCACGCCATTGCCAAGTTCAAGAGTTGCCGATGCAAGGCCTTTGCCAATTTCTTGTCATGCCCACTAGCATTCGTGAGCTGCCAGCTGCCATGCGTGTGGTTTGCAACTGCAAAGGTGGGCGTGTTTTTGTGCATGAGTTACCTCTCAGGCTTGCAGCTGACGTATTGGGACGCCTCCTGGTGCTCATCAACCAGCGCGGTCAGACACCTAGCTGGAGAGGAGGGGAAAGAAAAAGAAAGAGAAAAGAAGAAAAAGAAGAAGAGCAGAGTCCGGATGACTCTTCGCCGCTGGACGCTCTTGGATGCAAAGATCCATGACGTGCGGCTGATTCACGGCACCACGCCGGACAAGGACTGCAACGACGACAAGTGCAACGAGTTGACCAGTGGGCGCAGATTCAAGAGAACTGCATTTCGAGCCCCAACTTCCGCAATAACAGCTGGAAGTCACAGATCGTACTCGCCGACGAGGCTCAACGACTACTGGCCGACCGGGACACAGCCCGAGGAAAGAAGGCCAAGGCGAATCAGACCGCTGGCGGACCCCAGCCAGACCCAAGGGGGCGTTTCGTGGCGCTGCGTGCTTGATCTTTCTGAAACCTCCCAGTGAACCTAAAGAAACAGAGGCTCCAAGCCAAATCAGGGTCAGGGTTCTTCAGGGCTGAGACTGGAGGCCTCAAGCGTATTCAAAGCCAACACTCAACTACATTCCAGGCCCTAGGGCAAAGTCTGACTGCCCTAGGTCTCGCGGCTGCGGATGTGCAACGGAGAGGCTGGAGCGGTCGCGCTGTTGCGCATGCTTGTCTCTTGCACGGATGCCATGATTGAAGCCAGACGTACACCATCCTACTAAACCATCCTGCTAGCCTTGAAGTTCTGTGGTGCTTCCACGAATCCCTAAACCTTCTCTATACCCGACCTCCCCAACGCACACCCCAGGCATCATTTGACCTCGGCGAGTACTTTGGAGATGAGGCGCGTTGTTTTCTCGGCCTCGTGTTCTGCACGCTCGCCCTGGACTTCGGTCTAGGGCGTCTGCAGGTAGCGGGGCTGAGCCGGTCCGCGCTTG